AATAACTATTTTAATAACAACCTTGAAAGGATCAATAGATTCTTAGAAAAGATCATCTTTTCAACATATTTTTAAATAGTAATTAGTAGTAAGTCAAAGGAGTCAAAAAAATTTCAATTTTATTGATAAATAATAAAAAAAGATTCAATATCTTATCATCGCAATATCGGCTGATAAATTAGATAAATAATTATCTATATGTCATGAATAAGCAAATGCATGGAATACAAAATCCGTAAGATATTTGTACTGAATGTCAAAAAAAATGTGTGTGTTAGCTCAGACGCCTGACTGGAGTTTATTTCTGAAAAAGGATTGTCTTAAAATATATACTATAGGCAAAGGAAATATATGGACCCATATATATTTACATTAATTTGATAAAATATACTACATAAAAATATGACATATAATATACGCAGAGGCAAACCATAACGGCTTCACGTTTTGTAAACGCTAGAATTTACTACGCATCTTTCATCAATTTATTTGTGTTTGTTTAGTTATATATAGCGTACGGTATTATCTTTTACTATCTTACTATTCACATAATATCTTTTACTATTCACATAAATATTCTTACGTTCTAATGTTTGCAAGATAAATATTCCAACGCAGTAAGAAACGATTCGATCTGATGAGAAGACAATCTGACATGACATAAGAGAAATTAAACACAGGACCAACGGCTTTACTTGGTAGACACGAGGGTGGAATACCGCCAACTTCTTGACTCCGGGCTACTACTTAGAAGTTCTTGATCTTATATCAACCCAATAACTGATTTTCGCCTCAACTAGGGACTACATGATTAGCGGTTGTGCTCACGAACACAATGACACATATTAGTGTCATCAATAAGCCTATAAGCGCGCCTTTCTATTGTGTACAAAGCCGCTATTGATTCACTTATTGTGTCAAAATGGCTCATACATAAAACAATTCTAAAGCCTTGACGGTTGGTTAGGCAACATTAGGATACATTTTTTCTTATTAAAACAAAATGTCGAAGTGCTAGCTGCGCTACTTTCCTGGTGCAGCACTACTATAACACAATTTCTAAAGAAATGTAAATTGGATACGACAGATAGGGTTACAATGAAATATCGGACGACCGATAATAACTGTTTGTATAGAAACTAAATAAAAATTGATGATTATCGGTGAGTTGATAATAAAATTAATAAAATTTAAAAACATAATAAATTTCTTAGGTCAAGTTCGTCGTTATCCCAAAAATCACTAAAGCTTTGTAATCGCAGCATCCATATATTATTATAATTTAAAATTAAAGGTAAAAGATCCAATAAACGATGCATTTAGTTATAAACGTACGAAAACAAATAAAATAAAAAACAAGATAGTTTCTACGTTTAATAAGAGATTCTGTCTACGTATTGTTTAATTCACAGTTGGCTAAGTGGATAAAAACATTTAAAAATAATACAAACAAAATATATTAAATCCCCTATTTTAAAGTCAATTGTACAAGGTTTGTCTTGTCTTTTTGTGTAAATGAATATATTTATGACATATTTAATATGAATAAAAAGCTAATAGTATCACTAAATTATTTTCTGAATGCATTCGACGCTTTTGTGCAAAAAGTTATGAATGGGTTTATTATAATGATAGTTGTATATACAGCTGTAAATGCAATGAGGGCATTCGCAAATTCGTCTGAGGCCCAACGTCTAAAGAAATTCTTATCGAACCCATAACAGAGAGCGATGGAAGCTGTAGTAAAGCATACAATTCCAAAACATACATGTGTAAGCTTGGAAATGTTTCCGTTAAATATCCGTCGAAATTCATAAGCGTAGAGTGAAGCCAGGCCATTGATGAGACTGGCAACCATGAAGACTATTGCTACTAACGCTGTAAAATAACACGTTTTACTTTTACATGCGATATAAAATTAAAAACAAATTAAACGTTGAATACTACTAAAAAGGAGAAAGGGGTACGAAAGTGAACGCAAGTTGGACGAAAGTTATGATTTTTGAAAGAGAAGAAAGTACAACGAAATGTGAAATAAGAATAGAAGGGGATTTGTTCGAGCAAGTAGATGAGTTTGTATTTTTAGCAATTCACAATGCTATGTTAGTCCCTACTTTAGCATATGGTAGTGAGAGTTGGGTGTGGCAGAAGAAGCACGAGAGCAGTAGAAATGCAATCGCTAAGGAGTATGTTAGGGCTGATTCTGAGTGATCTGCCGCTGAAACCTGGGTAGGCTTCTGCTGTGCTTGTTTTCCTCATCGTTACGGCTTTCACATATTAGATTCAGTCCTAAAGACGTAACGTAAGCCGAAATGGTGGTCTGGCCAGGGAGGAGGGGTCGTTAGTTTGTGGCGGGCGCTGGCAGAGCTGCGGTCGAAATCACGTTTTTGCTGTCATGCGGCAAAGATAAAACACCGGGGGCATTTAGTGGATCAAGTTCTTTATATGATAATAGCTTACCAAATTGTCCATGGTAAGTATTCCAGTTCACTTTTTTGTCCATAATTTTAACAAAACTACCGGCCAGGGCTAGAGCTGATCCCAAGATTTGCAAGATCCAGTGCGCACGACGTTTATCACCGTGTTTTAGTTTTGAAGACCACTCGTTTCCACGTGCAAGACTAAGAATAGCTTGGCCCATAAGCAGCTGGTACTGAAAAGAAATAAGATTTAAATTTTAGAAGCTGATCTGCTCATGCCTTACAAATTACTTAAAACAATAATACCGTAGTTTATTAACTACTATAATTTTAACCACTCTACTGTCCCATGAGTCATATATGAAATTTTCGATTGTTTAATTATTGTCTTTTTTTTTGCGGACATGAAAGTTGTTAATATTATAATGTGGTACTTTTAGTAAAATTGTAGTTTTCATCATTTATAATACTTCTAAAGAATACACTATATAATACTTATACTTACGCCTAAAACACACAAAATTATATGTGTAAAGGTTGCTCCCAGTGGTAAACCATCTCGTAGGGAAAACAATAGAGAAATACCAACGATGACACCGAGTAACACCTGAGCTAACAAGTTTAACGTTGATTGAAAAATATACCAATTGTAATTAGTTTCTTGGGATACCGCCGTTTGGTTCACACTATTTACACTTTGTGTAACTGTTACTGACTCACGTGCCATAGTTGGTTCCATAGAATTAGGCGGCATTTTGAAGGTGTGTTATCTCTAGTAACGACAGGTTGAAAGTGTGAATAAAATAAATCATTCAAAAATTTATTTTTATTACAGCTGAAAAAGATAATAAAGATGACTGACTTTATCAAAATGGATGGAAATACAGATGCCATGTAGACAAATTAGGAATTTGTAAATTAGCGTGGCTCTACCACGTATTATAATCTTCTAGGTTCTGATGCTCACAACTTTTAGGCAAATTACCTTAGGAGTTATGCTGGTAATAACCTTTACCTTTATTTATTTATTTTATCTTTATTATAATACACGGTTAAGGTTTACAATTCGGTCGCCTGAATTAGGGGGTGGGGGGTGGTGTAGGGAGAGGGGGAGGAGTTGTAGAGTCACTCCCTACTTCCCCTTCCTGCCGGACGTGCTTAGTTTTTTTATAAATTTTTTAAAATCTCATTTTGAGGTTATGTTTCGTAATTTTAATGATAACTTAAGGAGAGAGAGGACCCAAACTCGGCCCTACTTCTAGTTTTACAAAAAAATAACCACGAAGGGGATGTCGGGGTCTTTCGCTCGCTTTGCTTCTCGACCTCTTCTAACCTAACATGTCCGAGTCAGGGTGGCCCACGTCCTAGGCTCGCTTCGCTCGCTATAGCACCCAATATAACACCAAAATATTAACTTTTATAACTACTTTAATTTATAAACATAATTTATGGCTGCCACCAGTTGTAAGAAAGGATCTTTGCGTTATTTAGCAGTATTCTGCCGCCACAAATATTCCACTATTCACCAAAATTATGAAACTCGAAAGCAACGGCATGACGAAAAGCTGTCAACAAAATGGCTGACTTAGCGATTAATTTTACACGTTTTTAAATCGAACCATATCGAAATTGGATGAATAGACTCACAAAAATCGAAATAAAAAACGATTTTTTTTTGATTTGCGTTAAAAGTTTATATTTACAATATCAAAAGATACAATAAAGTACAGATAAAATTGAATGATTGAATTAAAAACTGTCATTCTTTACGAGTTGAGGTACATTCAACTAATTTTAAATAATTTTACAAATCTTAATAAAACAGAATAAGATTCGATCTCGATTTTCTAGGGTGAAATATCGATTCACTAGATCGATTCAGCACTATATATCGATATGACATTGACAGATGAAACGTCAAAAACGTAATTAGTCATTTACCAATAATTTTAAAAAATTATTAAAAATACTTTGACGCTCCGGCAGCAAAAACCGAGTGGGGGTGCTTCAGATAAACCCCCTTGTGACACGCCCACAGTGACAGAATCTTCAAATTCAGGCGACCGAATTGTGAACCCAACCCTAATACACATTAAAGTAAGGGATTTAAAAAGACTGATTGTGCCCTTTCTTTATGTGTGTTTTCGTAAAGGTGAAATTACACGGTTCACATTTGTCTTTCAATTTGGATGAAGCAACCAAATTGATCCATGTAAACTTATAAGTGAATCATTCAATGTCATTGAATGTTGTCGTTCTACGGCGTTGAAAGAATTGAACATGCTCAATATTTTCACTTTTAGCGTTCAATATTCAACGCGGATGATTGAGAAATGAATGTGTAAACACAAGAATTGAACGATTCACTTTTACAGTCAGTCGTGCGCGCCGCAGTGTCGAGAAAGGGCGTATTTTTGGACAATACATACCTACCTACTACATACCTACGAAATAGTTTTCAAATGGAAGGAAGAACACACGCTTCTTGGAACATTTTAAAAAGTATACGTGTCTATGGAAAAAGGGGGTTATAAAAACCGAGAGTGTCGTGGAAATGCTATTTAATCGCTAATTGAAGATTTGAACATTAGCGGTGTAACCGAAGAAGACATAAAATTAAAAATTAAAAATGTACGTACCCTTTATACTTCTGAATTAGCGAAAATAAAACGATCGACCACAAGCGGTTGTTCTACAGATGATATTGTTACGAGCTTGAGGTTCGTCACAATAAAAACTGCAGATTGAATTACCAAAATTAACTCTTTAATTCCCTTTACACTAATTAAAACTTAGAACACTAATAATTAACCACACTGATTCACTTTATTTCGCTCCGAAGCTTCGCTTGTCTCGCCGAATTCAATACTTCCTCGATCGCATCTTGCAGCGCCTTTAAATACACATTATCACCGAAACATCCAGAATATTCAAGTAAATACGCGCGCCAATCGACAAGGCGTCGAAAGTTCGAGTGTCGGGCTTCTAGAAACTTAGTTCTTCGTTTCGATACTAGATGGCGCTGTCGGTTGAAAGATTAGTGATGTCATTTTCTGGAAAGCTCCCCTCGCTCTCGTCCCCGACACTAGATGACGCTAGTGCTGGGTACATGACGTCAACTTAGGCGCGCAACAATATTTATGTCCAAAGTTGTTTTGGTTTAAACAAGCGCATGAGTTTTCGAATGCTGTATGTGTTCCAAGGAAAGGCAAATCTAACTTCGTGAGTACCTAATATTTAAATTAATATATTAAATCCATGCGAAGCTGGAGCGAACTGCTAGTCTACACTAATATTATAAAGAGGAAAGATTCGATTAGTTGTTTGTTTGTATTGAATAGGCTCCGAAACTACTGGGCTGATTTCAAAAAAAATTTTCACCGTTAGAATGCTACACTAACCGTGAGTAACATTGGCTACTTTTTAACCGACTATGATGGAGTCCAACAGGAGGGTAATGTGTTCACACTTGTTGCGATAGCCGATACCCACGCGGGCGGAGCCGCGGCTATAAGCTAGTATTTAAATAAAACACAATAGTTATTACAAGTTTTTAAACAATCTTTCAAAAATACATAAAACAGATTGAAAATTATTCTACACTTCTTATCATTTGCAATTGCCACGGTACAATGTCAGTAGTGGTGAATTTTTCTGCAAACATATTTTGCACTCTGCGGGCGTTTTCAGTATGATTTCGTAGCCTGGTTTGCGGTATGCCCACAATCGCTTCGGATGGTACTTATCGCCATTCTCCTGGGATAATACATCCCTTTTCCCAATCCTCTCTCTCAAGTGAATGTTGTAAGTTAATATTGGAAGTTGTTTTTCTAAGCCAGTTATGAAGAGCGAACGTTGTTTTTACTAAATGTTTAACTTTTGACACAGTGAGTGGGATGGGTTTTTCAAATATTCTAAATTTTGCTACTAATATGCCAAATGCATTTTTGACTACGCGTCTTTCTCTGGATAGCCGATAGTTGAATACCTTGTGTTTTTCGTTGAATTCCCCTCTTGTATTATATGGTTTCAAAATATTTGTTTTCAGAGGAAATGCATCATCTGCTACGAAAACACCTTCATTTGGTATGTTTAATAGATTGTTGTGTGAATGTTGATTTTTCAAAAACACAAGCATCATTTGCTCTTCCAATAGTTCCCACATCTATGTAAATGAAATTATAATTGGCATCTACGACAGCGAATAAAAATAATGCTGAAACTTTTTTTGTAATCAAAATAATCAGAAGCACTATTTGGCGGGCATCTTATCTTTACTAGCTTTCCATCCATGGCTCCACAGCAGTTTGGAAAATTCCACATCTTGTAAAAACTATTCATTGTCTTTCTCCATTCACTTTCGCTTTGTGGAACCTGAAACAAAATCATAATTTTATTTACAGAACATCCCAGAGCAGCAGTCACAGGTGACAGAATACGAAAACACAGAGAAGAGTCAGGAAACTCCTCAAGCAAAAGATAGCGGACATTCTCAGACCTCAAAAGATGAACAGCCTCTCGCGAATATAACTCAAGCGCCGAGAAACCGGAAAAGATGCAGTGATACACCAATAGACAAGACTATAAAGCAGTTGAAAATCATTAGCGATGATGCTAAAAATAACACCGAAGATGAATTTGACTTATTCTGTAGAAGTTTGGCTGTGCAGTTAAAGCGAATGCCACTACATCGAGCTTTGATTTGTCAACAGAAATTACAAGAAGTTCTAACGCTTCCACCCTCTCTCATAATAATAAATGTATAAAATACTAAATGTATTATAATCCCCTTTATATTAAAAATTATATATATTTGACTAGAATAAATAAAATATTTTTTGATCTTTCTAAATGATCTTTCTAAAGGTTTAATAATAGGCCGTTTGTAATATTTTGGCGTGATCGACTTGGTTAGGACCCTTATTTACGTTGTGTTTGTTTAGTAACTTAGATCTTTTAGGTGTTTTTTGGAAGAATGAATTTTCGCTAGAGCAATTGAAAGCTGTTGGTAGTGCCTTATAAGCTAAGTGAACCCCGTTCACGAAGACAGGGCTCGAGAAAGGTTAAGACATAAAACAACCCAATTCCACTTGTATCAGGTTTACATTATTAATTTAATATTATTTATCCCTTCCCGCTCGGAAAAGGCTCAAAATATATTTATACAAAATACCCGATACAAGGGCTTCGCTCTCCTACATTTATTAAAAAATGTAGGGGAGGCACACGGCCTTGGGGCCGTGTGCCTCCCCTACATTTTTTGCCGCCGTGCACGGTGAGCGCCAACCATTTTGATGCACTCCCCCCGAAGGGAAAGCTAATTCGGGAACTGGACCGTAGTCCACAGCAAAATAACTGGCGAACCAGTAAAAGAGGCTTGGCCCCTTGCTAGTGCGTAAGCACAAACATCGACCGAAGTCGCGCATGTCAATGCGTGTAAACGCCAAACAGAATACGAACGAATCCAGCCACAGTGAATGTACGTCACACGGTTTAGGCAAATAGGCACTCTGGCCGTAAACTCTCCGTGAGCGCCACCACCTGCCAGACCGCCGCTCCTGCAGACGTGATGTAACTGTATGGCATCACCACCAATTGCATGATCAGCACGGCTACTAGCCGCAGAGCGTGTCATGAGTCTACCGCTCACCTCAAGGGAATGGGGTCCCACGTTGTGCGGCTTTCGGCCGCAGCCTTGAGAGTCTCCTCAGATCCTCCCGCCAGCTACCACCCGCATGAGGTCGACACATATGCTCCACCAACCAATACAACGGCAGATATAGCCAAAAGGCAGTTATAAGATAAGAGTAATAATTCGCCATTAGAAAGGGTTTGTGTCACTGACGTTGATTAAATGCATTTTCGATCATGTTTGTCTCATCCACCAACAAGTTGCCTTCAATCATTCAAAGGTGGGAAAGTTACAGAGATATAATATTATGTTGTTATATAAAACATCGTGGAGGGCAGACAGTCTGCAGCCCCGTAATGTTGGGACCCGACTTGGGAAAAGCTACTCAGGCGTGAGTCAAACCAAGACGCAGAGAGCGCCATTGAGAATAGCGTCCCACCAAACAACCATCGCAAAGACGCAACGCTGCAGAACGCAACAAGCATCAATACGACTATCGTCGGGCTTACACCATCCCAAGGTCCCCCATACATCCCAGCAGACATCACCACCTGCATACCTCCATCGACCAGAACCACAAGAGTGCGTCGAATCAGGCGCAGCACACCCGCAGATCCATCACAAGACGCAATACCGTAAGTAGCAGTAAGCATCAATGCAACTATCATACGGATGGCGCCCCCCTCACAACACACCCACATGACCCCTATCGACTTTGGTAACAAAGTTTGTAATGTTGTTATATAAAAAATATCACCAACGTATCATAGTAGCACGCTACCAAGACGCCAATGAACAAAACTCCACGTATCATAGCGCTAATGCACTAAGACATGAAGTTGAGTATGCCTGTTACACTTAAAAGTGCTACCAAACACACTCATCATCCCAATCCGAAATATAGACGACGCATCGCTATGCGCTACGACGTCGCCCATAAACGGTATGGGTGTGCGATGTCCACGGGAAAGCTGTATTGCTACAACAAACCCGCTTACCATCGGCACTAAGATGTTAATTGTATACCTCCATCGACCAGAACCACAAGAGTGCGTCGAATCAGGCGCAGCACACCCGCAGATCCATCACAAGACGCAATACCGCAAGTAGCGGTAAGCATCAATACAACTATCATACGGGTGGCGCCCCCTCACAACACACCCACATGATCCCTATCGACTTTGGTAACAAAGTTTGTATTGTTGTTATATAAAAAATATCACCAACGTATCATAGTAGCACGCTACCAAGACGCCAATGAACAAAACTCCACGTATCATAGCGCTAATGCACTAAGACATGAAGTTGAGTATGCCTGTTACACTTAAAAGTGCTACCAAATACACTCATCATCCCAATCCGAAATATAGACGACGCATCGCTATGCGCTACTACGCCGCCCACAAACGGCATGGGTGTGCGATGTCCACGGGAAAGCCGTATTGCTACAACAAACCCGCTTACCACCGGCACTAAGATTGTTGTTATATAAAACTGCACCAACGTATCATAGTAGCACGCTACTAAGACGCCAGTGGACAAAACTCCACGTATCATAGCACTAATGCACTAAGAGATGAAGTTGAGTATGCCTGTTACACTTAAAAGTGCTACCAAACACACTCATCCCAATCCGAAAGATAGACGACGCATCGCTATGCGCTACGACGTCGCCCACAAACGGTATGGGTGTGCGATGTCCACGGGAAAGCCGTATTGCTACAACAAACCCGCTTACCACCAGCACTAAGATGATATGTCTAGGACACATCGGTTAGCGAGATTTCAAGTTTACCTCGGACCAATTGCTCGTGAAGCAGCACACACGCCACCATAATATTCCTTTTCAAGTCCCTAAAAAGGACTAGTCATTTTGCTACAGTACTGGGAGCAGTCGGTCACCCAACCACTCCATACGATGCTTATGCATCAAGGAGACCTTCTATAATATTGCTTTTGTATCATAGACCTTACTTTCATAAGTCATTCATATATAGGGGTTCGAACCCACGACCCTACTATTGTAATGCAAATTCATCACGGAGACCTTCTATAGTATTGCTTTTGTATCATGTGAGTTTAATATCATAAGTCCCTAATATAGGACTAGTCATTGTGCTACAGTACTTCCGGCAGTCGGGCTCCCGACCACCCCATATATATGTACAACTGCAGGTATGTATCTCCGGCAGCTCCTCTATACAAGATATCTACTCTCAACTCCTTCCACGACTTAGACAATTTTCAACAAATTTTCTAATTATCTTATAAATGTTATTTATCTTTATTTTTATAATATTTTTGACTTGTATTTCTATTAATTATCTTATCTTAAATATTTTTCAAGTTTTTAATAAATTTATTTATTATGGAAGACAATATTTTGCCTTTAATTTACTATGTTATTGGTCTAATGTCTGAAATGTATTTATATTAACTTTATGGTTATTAACGTAATTTTATTGTTTAACATATATCTTTTAAGACTATTTTTGACGCCCCTTTATATTGAATTTAATTATTAATAATAATATTGGGCCGTCACAAAGTCATGTTGCAGGAACGGCTGCAGTTCATTAATACATCCCTTCATGATTCTACGCGTTCATCATCGTTGTCACATTGTTCTTATACCTATGTAATGTCTCCAAATACTTATCAACATGAGCAATATCCTTCGTCCATTTCTCAGTTCCAATTGGCACCTATTCAAACTTATGATCATCATGAGGTCCAAACACCCATAAACACTCAACAAATTAGTGAGATACTGCCCACAACTCAAGAAAATAATACTTCGGACTTGCTCCAAACAGCTATGAGAAACATGTTGTGAAATATTAAAAGAATACACTAAATTTACTTAATTCATTTGTTTTATTTACACTATATTTTACTGACCTTAATAAAATCTCGTAGTACTATCCATATCGCTTCACACACTGCTTCGAAAACTCTCTGTATAATGCTTCCAATGATCCAAAACAATCCCCAGTAGCAAGATGTCTGAGAATGATTTGCAATTTCACTCTTGCGGGCAAAGCATCTCTCATCATAGTATTTTCTTTCTGAATTAACGGTGTAACCATAGTAAGAAGTTCATCATATTTTGCTTCATTCATGCGAAGATGATTGAGGTATGCATCTGGATTCTCTTCTGCCAATTCTCTCAATAGACGGTTTGACGCTCCTAAGGCTTGCCTTCTTAATACCCATGATCGCACCCACCAACAATGGCGTTTCCTTAGCTTCTTTTTCGATAATTCTTTTATTAAATGATCACATATTATTGCAACTCCTAAACGTACGACCTCATTCGACGACATCTTTCGAAGAATATGTGTTGAACAGTTCATTTTCCAGATACCATGTAAACAGCATTCCTTTCATTTCTTCTCCATTCAACCAAAGTGATTGAATTTGATTGAACCATGTATTTTCACCTTTATATTACGTCAACGTTAACATCGTGCGATATAACGTCAGTGGATCTGTTTGTCTGTCACAAACGATATTTCTCAGATCTGGTAATGATAAAAATATCTCGAACCCCATGCCACCTATCGGGTTGACGATATTCTTTTTTGGCACTAAATCAATATGCAGGGATTTTCATTAAGTGCGCTCAGAACATAAGACCAAAAATAAAATAAAATAACCTTTGTAGGTAAGTGACATTGTCATAAATTTTATTTTATTTTAAAGGACCTTCGATGAAATTATGTTTGGAATATAATTTCAGTCAAATGGCCGACGCGAATCCGCTGTAGGTGTATCCTGGTGGATCAATTTTGGAAGACATCTTCGCATAAATAGAAAAAGAAAAGAATAATAGTTATGGCCAACATAAGGCAGGGCGGTTTGCCTGCATAGACCAGATATTTCACGTAACCCCACAGAAAGTAATCGAGCGGTGTTAAGTCACACGGTCTTGATGGCTAGTTGATGTCACCCCCATGCGAGAGTGTTATCATCTAATTGGCGTTGTTTCGTTGGAACCACAAGTTTGAGAGTTCCATACCATCTATCCTAGGCCGCGAAAAATTTGTTGTCATCGTATTAAAACGGTCGCCGTTGACAGCGAGTGCGACTCCCTGCGCATTTTCTAAGACACAAGAGCCGATGATATTGCCG